GACTTTTAATGAACTGCCTGAATAAAATGTGTTGATAATCTGCTGAGTTCAGCTGTTTTTCACTTTATTTGGAGTCCAAGTTCAGATCTGTAGATGTTTAACTGAGAGGAACTGAACATTAACAGGTCTAATACAGACCATCAACATCCTCAGCCAGCTGATAGACACACTGACACCATCCTGGACCTGGAGCTTCACTGGATTAGGGTTTGGATTAGGATTAGGGCCAGGGTGAGGGTTACGATTAGGGCCAGGGTGAGAGTTAGGATTAGGTTTTGGGTTGAGGTCAAGGTTAGGGTTAAGATTAGGGCCAGGCTGAGGGTTAGGATTACGTTTTGGGTTGAGGTTAAGGTTTGGGTTAGGATTAGGGCCAGGGTGAGGGTTAGGATTAGGTTTTGGGTTGAGGTTAAGGTTGGGGTTAGGATTACGTTTTGGGTTGAGGTTAGGGTTTGGGTTAGGATTAGGGCCAGGGATAGGGTTAGGTTTTGGGTTGAGTTTAAGGTCAGGGTTAGAATTAGGGCCAGGGTGAGCATTAGGATTAGGTTTTGGGTTGAGGTTAAAGTTAAGGTTAGTATTAGTGCCAGGGTGAGGGTTAGGATTAGGTTTTGGCTTGAGGTTAAGGTTAGTATTAGGGCCAGGGTGAGGGTTAGGATTAGGTTTTGGGTTGAGGTTAAAGTTAAGGTTAGTATTAGTGCCAGGGTGAGGGTTAGGATTAGGTTTTGGCTTGAGGTTAAGGTTAGTATTAGGGCCAGGGTGAGGGTTAGGATTAGGTTTTGGGTTGAGGTTAAAGTTAAGGTTAGTATTAGTGCCAGGGTTAGGATTAGGATTAGGTTTTGGCTTGAGGTTAAGGTTAGTATTAGGGCCAGGGTTAGGGTTAGGATTAGGTTTTGGCTTGAGGTTAAGGTTAGTATTAGGGCCAGGGTTAGGATTAGGTTTTGGGTTGAGTTTAAGGTTAGGGTTAGGATTAGGTTTGGTTACTTCATGTAATTTATCAACAATACGTCAACTTAATGTAAGTAAAGTATCAACAGAACATCTACAAGAGATTTACTTCAGTGTATTCAGACACTGCAGTACTGCTACTTCACTGATATGTTATTGATACTCTGTTACTGAGTTTATTAATCATCTACACTCAGTAAAAGTGTTACCCAAGTTTCTTTCCTCATCTATAAGTACACTCAGTGTAACCATCCATTTACAGCACAGTGGTTTTTACTGAGCTGCCACATTCATACAGAATTCAACTGTTGTGCGTTTTTCAAGGATTTTACACGGATCATCAAATCGGATTTCAGGACCGAGCAGATTTTTTCACTCCTGCGTAAAGTTTTAGACATAATTACGTTGAAGAAACCTTTTTCCAGTTTTCCCTTTTAAAGCTTGTGCTGCGCAAGCCGTACGTTGGCTGAGTAAATTACAGGACCTTCATCTGACCCCTGACTCTTATCCAGCAAACTCAGGAAACTGTATGTGATAAGCAGTCCTGCACCGTTTCCCCTGATTTTTTCCTTTTTTTCCCTCTGTGCTGGCCTAAGATTCACCTTACCACAACAGCTCCCCCCTTTAGCTTTCATCACGCCACAGACAGCTACGAGCTGTCAGATAGCAGCCCGTCAGAGAGGGAGAGGGGGAGGGGGGGCACGGAGGCAGAGTGATGGAGAGAGCGAGCGATAGAGCGAGAGATGATAAATCAAACTCCAGACGATGAGGTCTAACACCATCTAATGACCAGAATGAAGCTGCGGCGCGGCTGAGACAGAGACACTGCAGCTTTAAGCCGTGTCACCTTCTGATCCAGCCATCCACCATGATCAAACCCGGATTTACAGCGCCTCACAACATCCAGCAGCTTAATAATCTCATATATTTCTCCCTCTGCGCTCGACACTTCCAGTCTCGACAGTCACTCAAGATAAGCTAAAATCGCTCTGACTGGATTGAGAGCACATATAAAACACATGCTTAAGAATTTTACTGCTCTCTTTTTCCCCCAGTCCTTCTATATATATATATATATATATATATATATATATATATATACACACACAAACACGTCTCGCTGCTGTCAGAAGAAAACCTCTCCATTTTTGAGGTTTTTTAGTTTTTGACATAATTCAAAAATACCAGTTGGCCTTTATATTGTCTGTACATTTCATGATTAATGGACTAAACTAAATGACCCAAAATGACTTGGAAAAAAGTCTGGTTCCATTGACTTACATTAAAAGTAAAGTGGGTTTTTTCCTTCTCCTGTAAAGTCACCATTTTGGAGATACGAGGTTTTCTTCTGAAGCTGAAGTCAGATATTCAGCAGCTTCCTATTCGAATTTGCCCGTTCCACCTTAGCAGCAGTTACGTTCTGGCACTTCAGGCACCAGAACTGCTGGACTATTTAAGATGGAATGGGTAATTTAGCTAGCTAGCTACCGAGACATTAGCATACAGTTAGCGATTTTATGCTTGTTATGAAGAAAACGACCATAATACACTGAAACAACATTAAACTGAGATAATACAGTGGTTTTCGTATTTTTTAATGGACAAAATTCTCACATTTGTGGGTTTCTTTGGTCGCTTGTGCAGCCATCTGGCCGTTTTTTTTTAACACTCAAGTTTCTGAAAAACCTCCATTTAGAGGGCTAAGTGGTAGGGGCGAGGGGTGAAATGGGATTGGGCCTAAATTTACCACATTTTAGAATAACTATGAAATTACATGGATGGAATCCTAACAAAGTGTTAAATGAATCCAAAATATCTTTTAGATTACTCAGTAACTACTATAATCTTTCCAGTATCTACTATGAATCATTCGGCAACTACTGTGAATTACTCAGCATCCGCTATGAATTATTCAGTAAGTAAAAAGTTTTCAGTATCTACTACAAATTAGTAGAGATACCCAAGGTAAAATATTACTCCAGTAAAAGTAGAAGTTCCTCCCTTTAGACCTCCACTTGAGTAAAAGTACAAAAGGATTTGCCTTCAAATGTACTTAAGTATCCAAAGTGAAAGTACTAAAAGATTAATTATGGCTCTGATGTCTTATTATCATTTTTGTAACAAGACTCGCTTCATTAACTCATTTTAGGTGAAAATACTCCAGTGTCTCTCTTGGTAAACCAGTCTTTTAATAGAGTCATTAATTAGTGACGCTGATGTCTATTAAAATTATCATAAGCACAAAACACTGAAGGCAAACAGTTTCTATTAGGTAGAACTGAGTGGCTCTGAAATCACTTTACAAACAAGCAAAGTTTCAGTTTAAGATTTAAGATACTAGCAAAATTTAACAAATTTACTATAAAATGAAATGTGTTTGTATAAATTCAGAAAAAAGACCCGTCAGTCTCAACTGCATATGTGTACATATTTCTATATTGTGGTCTATTTACACAAAGTTAGGTTAGTTCATCATTTATGTTGAATAGACTCTCCCAAAATTTTACGCTGCTGCACTGATGTTGAACCGTGTGCTGCACTGGGTTGGTATGACCAACAGGTCAAAACAAGCTCAAAACAAAGTGCCGCTGTGCCCTGATTGGTGTTTTTGCTTTGCGCTTCTTTCGTTTTGACATGTTACGTTTTTATACACACATAAACCAAAAGGAACGACAGATTTCTCATAATGTAGTGGAGTAAAAAGTGAGATATCTGACTTTGAAATGTGGTGGAGCGAAAATAAAAAGTCGCCCAAAATGGAAAAACTTCAGTAAAGTACAAATACACAAAAAAATACTTAAGTACAGTAATTAATTACATTTACTTTGTTACTGTCCACCGTGAAAAACACATTTAATCAGGCGTTCGACTGGTTCTGCACTTCACTGGGGAAAACTGTGGAGTTCTCGCCCCGAAAATGGGACAAAAGTCAAATTTGATATCAAATATTTTAAAGGCGAATCGTGGACACCCCCTAAAACTCTGGCTCTGGCAGCCATCTGGATGTGTCTGCTGAAGCTGTAGACTTGCGGAGATATCCGGTGACTCTGCCCAATCAATTACAGCCTCCGTCAATTCATTAATAACTTCCCATTGAAAGCCCTTCAGTTCATCGGCGTTGTCTTTTAATTAAACACAATCGCAGCAGCGCTGCTCGCTGGCGGAGAAAGAGCCTCCTCGAGGGCGCGGCGCTGTTCGACTGCGCTGATAATGGAATTTGACATTGCTGGAGATGTTGAGCTATTATTCTGCCCCACTGTTTCTCTATGTTCTCTGATAAAGAGCGATAATGGCCCTTAAATCTCCTCTCTTTCCTTCCAGTCTTTTTCCTCAGAAGCGCTGGAAACGTCCTCCGCTGAACTTACACATGTTCTGTAAGTAGATTAATCAATTAAGCTTCAGTGGATTAAAAAAAAAAGTGGAGGAGTTTAGGAGAAATATCATTTTTACAGTCGGTGGAGAGAGAAAAAGAGAAGCCAACAAAGAGTTATCTTCCTGCTCAGTGAGAGGGAGAGCGAAGCAGGGAAACGGGCAGATAAAGCGGCTCTGTGGTTAAGAAGAGACCCCAGTTTCATCTCAGAGCGGTGTCAGTATGAGGGGTGGGAGTGGCTATTCAAATATATGGAAATCCAACCTCATCTAAAGTATATAGTTGCTGTCGGAAAAAAACCTCGTATGACCATTTTTATCATTTTTCAGTGTTTGACATCATCTGAAAATGCCTGCTGCCCTTTACATTATATCTCAGTTTCATGATGAACGGAGCAAAAGAAACGACCCAAAATGACTTGGGAAAAATTCTGGTTCCACTGACTTACATTAAAAGTAAAGTATATTTTTTCCTTCTCCTGTAAAGTTACCATTTCGGAGATACGAGGTTTTGTTCCGACAGCAGCGAAATGTTTATTTAATCGGGTATTCCATAAGGGTTCAAAGTATCAATGCAAAGTCATGAAAAATAAAACAGAATTGATTTATTGTAGTATCAGCCGAGCTCTGTGCTCTGGCTGAGAGTCGTAACGTGCTGTGCTGAAAGAGAGTGGACAGAGGACGCTTACCTTTACTGTAAACCATGCAGTTATTTCTGGAGTCCTCTGCGCTGACCCACGTCATCTCCCCCAGCCATCGCGGACCCCCACTCACCACCAACGGCATCTGAGAGACACACAAAACATTGAGTGCGTTTACATGCACTTAATAATCCGATAACCGCAGAAAATCAGGTTTTGTCAGTAATCTGATCAACATGTTTACATACACTTGGGTAATCAGATAATGGGGAACCTCCGGGCCTACATGAGTCAGACAGTAATCGGACTTTGCAACCTGCCAATAAACTCACAGAAGAAGACGTGACGTAAGAAATCCGAAAGAAATCAGAGTCAGAGTTTACATGCTGAGAAATCTGATTACTAAGCTAAAATCCAGCTCTGAATTTCTTAATCGGATTTCTAGACCTTACTCTAAGAAATCAGAGCGTACTGTTTACACGACCATTTGAATAATCAGATAACTGCAGAGATCTCTCTAATTTTATCTACGTCAACTGTCATGAACATGAACTTTTTCTTACCAAGTGTAGAGCATCGTATCCCCTTTCATGACTTACCTCAGTCTGTGAATAACCCTTTAAAGTGATTATTCAGCAATAACACATAGATAAAAGTAGGATGCATAGCTAAAAACAATAGCAGCGTACAGTACAGGAGCATCTTGAAGCCTGAAATTTGTGTGTATTTTACCTTGTTTGCAGATAAGCAGTGTAGCAGTGTCAGAAATTTCCCATTAATATATTAAAACTATTATATCTTTTATATCGAAATCACAATATGAAATTTTCAGATCACAAGAGCTGCAATTTTACTTATAGATAATATAATCAGCAGTGTTGTAAGCACCATCCTGGGATATCATAGCAACAGCTGCGCAAACACCTTAGCAGCCACTTGTGATTACATAGCCGTCCGACTAGCAACACCTCAGCAACCACCTGGGATAAGATAGCAACCACCTAGTAACACCCTAGTAACCACTTTGGATACCTTAGCAAGCACTTAGCAACGCTCTGGCAACAATGTAAAATACCACAGCGACCACCTATTAATACTATAACAACGACCTACCACCCACCTAACAACTTCCTCGCAGTGCCCAGGCAACAAGCAGGAATACAATAGCAACTACGTAGCAACACCTTACCAACCACCTTGGATACCTTAGTTACTGTTTAGTAGCACCTTAGCAGGCACCTATCAATACCACAGCCTAGTCCACCTACCACAATACCCTAGCAACAGCATAGCAACACCATAGCAACTGCCTGGAATATCATAGCAACCACCTGGAATTGTTATAGAAACCTAATGATCAAAAAACAGTCAGTCAACATCTACAACTGCTCTGGCGTTATTAGCGGCTTTGTCAAGCCAGAAGTTCATTCACAAACGTTCCCCTTCTAGTTTATAGAAAATAATTGCAGTTTATACACCGGTTAGTCCTTATATCTGATTGGCTGAGCCGCGTTCGAAGCCGTAGTGAAATCCACAATATACGCACACCTGTGACGTCTCACAGCAACTGAATTGTATATCACTGCGCTACGGCATGAAAAACCCTTCTGCTGTTAATGGAGTAATCTTTGACTCTCATGCTGCTCACATGGAGCACCGAGTGAACTGATGAAGTAAGAACCTGGTTCTGTTTAAACTGAGGGGCTGACAACTTATGTTCTTAACTAAAAGAGAGCCAACAGCCTAAACAGCTCCAACATTAAAACCACAGGCTTAAATTAAATTACATACAATATGATTAACTATAAAATGACAGTATAGAACTCTAAAAAATGTCACCTGAATGTCTCACACGCTTCAAATGTTCGTATTTCAGTCAGAAGTCGTGTCAAACCCAGTCTGAATCCCCAACGGCTCTGTACTCCCTAAATAGCCAAACAGTGCATCATGTATCGAGTGTGGATGAGTCTGAGACCCAAATGACTGTTTCTTAGCTGTATTTTGCTCTGTTGGGCTGCAGGATCCAGTATTTAAACTCCTACGTAGTGCACTATGTAGGGAGCAGGGAGCCGTTTGAGATTCAGCCCCAGCGTGAGAAGAGGGCGCCGCTGGATTGGTGCTAAATAAGACTCACGGCGGTGATTTGGTGACCAAAAAGTGCTTATAAAGGGAACGTTTGTGCGTTAAACAGTGCTGCGTTATCATATGATCATTATTATACAACAAAAAGTTAAAAAGTTCATGAAATGACCGCTTTTCTCGCATCTCCAGCAGGAAACTTTTCCTCAAAAGTAGAACAGTTTCTTGTAAAATGTCTCTCAATGTTCCATTTTTTATGGAGCTATGGTCAGTTTCTCATTCGCCAGCTTCTCGTTTGAATATTCCCGTGCCAGAATGTAACTGTTGCACCATTTAAGGTGGAACGGGACAGTTTGAACAAAAAGCTGGCGAACGAGACTTGAGTGTCATGACTTTTTAGTGTTTGTCAGTTTCTCGTTGCAGATTAAACGTATCAGGAAACCAGCTGGAGTGATTATAAACACTAATAAGTCCATTCATCTCCAAATTATCGATCTTAAATCTCTCTCTTTGCCGTTTCGTTAGCTACTAGCTAGGCGAGACTGTTGTCTGTGTTGCTATGGTGACCAGCAGTCTGCGCTGACCTTCAGGGTTAAAGGGTGAATTAGCAGTTCTACTTTAACTCCAGAGTTTAAGATCATTTATTGTTAATTTTTTTTTTTTCCTGCAAAGGAGGATTATTTTATTTTTACCTAAAAATCGAATTCTGCTGTGGAGTCGTATGTTGCAACCTCTAAAGGAACTAGTTATTGGTCGAATACTTCTTTTAGGTTGATTATAATTAATAAAAACTTAAAAGTTATTTTCAGAAAAATTGTGTATTTTATTATATGTTGTTCGCTTTGCGTCGTGCCTAACAACACCCTTCCCCGTGACAGAATCGCAGTAATGCATGGCCTCTCGTTATTGCTTTGTTAAACTGCAGCTGTACAATCAGTCAGAAATATTTTAATGAGATATCTTCGCCAAATCATTCAGACACAAATATCGTCAAGATCCGGAAAAGATTTGCTCAGGCTTAGGATTTACAGGCCTTATAAACCGTAAACAACCGTTCATTCACCTTGTCTAAACCGGCTGCCCTCTGACAGATCACTCAGCTACGGGGTCTACGGCCACGTGTGTGTGTGTGTGTGTTGTGTGTAAGGTGTGTGAACAGGCTGCTCTCGGGTTCTGTCCTTCCTCTGAATGAGCACATTGTTGGGGTCCTCTCTGAGAGCCGCAGCTGATCAGATCTCATCCTCTGGGCTCGGAGAGAGAAGAAGCCGAGCTCTGAGCGCTGATCTTTAGCCACATTGTACCTCCCTATCACCTACATCACTCCGCTTCCTGAGACGGGCAGCAGAGGAATTTAAAGAATCGGTGTGCGTTTCAAAAAAGGACAGGAGGAGTGAAAGAGGCTCACATCTAACTCAGAAACACTGACCGGTCACTCTGCTGGTGTTATTCACCTGCCCAGGTCACGATTCTCACTAGCCACGTTTACATGCAGCCTAATAATCCGTTAATAATCCGACTAATAGGTCCGACTTTTAGTTAATAGGCCATTCAGAATACAGTTTTTATCCGACTGATCGAGGTGGGTAATCCTGTAAATGATCAGTTAAATAGAAGAATAATATCCGTGTAAACGCCTGTATCTGATTACATTCCCTATCAGAAAGTTTAAGTACGTTCTGATCATGTTCGTCGCGTCATAGTGAGAGTTTATACCGTTCAACATGGCGGAGCAGAAACTGGTCTGCAGAGGAGACGAAGTTCATGCTCTGATCTTTAAAAGACGGCGGTGGGACGGACGTCCAGCTTATGTGTCTCAGAACACGACGTCTTCCTCTCGGCCTTCTTTAATAAGGACATGTGAAGGACGTTTTCCTGAGTCTGACATCATTTTAAAGTGATTATAAACACAAGCGCTGCTCACTGCTGCTCGTCTCACTCTGACTGGACTCACGTGATGCTGGTTGTCATGGTAACATCTACACTAAGTGGTTCTCTATACATGCGCGTCATTTTGGATCGGATTGGATTTTCATCAGAAACACTGAGGTTCATCAGACAGGTCACAGAGACGCCAGCTCTGCTGAGGATCTGCACCACGGCTCCTTCAGCGGGGCGGAGCGGCTAACTTCTGTCCTCCATTTCTTTCTCTTTCTTCCTCTTTTCTTTTTCTTTCTCTTTTTACTCTCTTCCTTTCTTCTTGTCTTCTCTTTTCTCCTTTCCTTTCCTCTGTTCTTTTTCTATGTTCTTATTTCTCTTTTCTTTCTCCTTTCCTCTTTTCTGTTTTCATCTCCTTTCTTTATTTTCAGTTGCTGTTTTTTCTCCTCTCCTCTTTTCCTCTCCTCTCCTCCCTGATTCTTTCCTCTCCACTCCTTTATTCTCCTCACCTGAAGGAAATGGTTCTTTCCTTCTTTCTTCTTCCTTCTCCTTTTTTGCTCTTCCTTTCTTCTCTTCTCTTTTCTCCTTTCCTTTACTTTCCACTCCTCTATATTTTCTTCTTATTTCTGTTCTCTTCTTTTTCTCTTTTCTGTTTTCATCTCCTTATTTTCTCTTATTTTTGTATTTTTCAGTTCAGTTCTTTCTTTCGCTCCTTTATTCTCCTCTGCTCCATTTCTTTCCCTTTCTTCTTCCCTATTCTAGTTCCTCTTCCTTTTTTCTATTCTCCTCTTTTCTCCTTTTCTTTCCTATCTTCTCTTTCCTCCTTCCTTCCTGTCCTCTACACTTTTCTCTTTTCCTTCTTTCCTCTTCTATCCTCTCTTCTCCTCTTTATTCCTCTTCTATCCTCTCTTCCCCTCTTTATTCCTCTTCTATCCTCTCTTCTCCTCTTTTTCCATTTCTCTTCTCTCTTCCCCTTTTGTCCTTTTCTAATCTCACTTCTCTTTTTTTCTTCACTCTCCTCCCCTCTCTCCTAACTTCTCCTTTCTGACTTTGTCCTCTTCTTTCCTTTCTTGCCTTTTCTCCATTCCCCTTTACCTTGGTCACATCTTTCCACTTCTCTTCTTCTCTCCTCTATTTCTTTCTCCTCTCTTCTTCTCACTTTCCTCAGCTCCTCCCCTCTATTCCTTTCTCCCTCTCTCCTCTTTTCTCTTCTTTCTTTCTCTTTTCCTCTGCTTTTTTCCCATCTCCGTACTTTCTTTCTTTTCCCTCCCTTTCTTTTCTCTCCTGTCTTCCCTGATTCTCCCCTCCTTTATTCTCCTCTCCACTTTTTTCCCTTTTTCTTCTCTTCTTACTTTTCTTCTTCCCTCCTTTTTCTTTCTCCTCTCTTCCCCTCTTTTTCCTCTTTGCTCCTCCTTTCTCTTTTTCTCATCTTTTCTCTCCCCCTCTTTACACTCCTCTCACTTTCTCCCTTCTCTTTCTTCTCCTCTCTTCTACTTAGTTCTTCTCTCTCTCTCTCTCTCTCTCTCTCTCTCTCTGTGCCAGGCTGGTGATGGATGCCCGGGCAGGTTGGCAGTGCCCGTGCTGTTTGGGCCTGATAACTCTCTCTCTCTCTCTCTCCACCTCTGCCGCTCCTCATCCCTCTCTCCTCTCATCCCCCTCTTCCTCTCTGCCAGGCTGGAAGACAAAGCCCAGTCACATTAGCCCCGGTCAGCCAGCCGGAAGACGACAGAATTCAGCAAAAATGTAGATTTGGGCCAGAGAGGGTGAGGGGGCGGGGTTAGCAACGTGCCGCTAATGAGAGATAAAAGAGGGGATAAGTATGGGGGGGGAGAGAGAGAGAGAGAGAGAGAGATATAAAGAAGAGGAATAAGAAGAGCATCATTCCTCCCCCACTGAGAAAAGGAAGGGGTCAGTGCTGGGCTATTAGCATTAGCCTCTCTGAACCCAGCAGCCTCCACAGGTCATATCTACTGGCCTGCTGTGCTGGACTGCATTAGCCCAGCCTTTACTGAGGTTTATTGAGGTGACAGGGTAAATCTCTGTACACTGCATGCAGAGCGTCTGACCGCCATGCACTGGACGAACATAACCTGTCCCGTTTTAAGCTCACGGATAACGTGAGATCCATGATCCATTACGGATAGTTCCGATCCTACAATCTGATTGGCTGAGCCGCGTTCGAAGCTGATGTAAAATACATGATATACGCCCACATATGACTGCATCACAACAACTGAGCTCCGTATCACTGCGCCACGGCACGACAAACCCTTCTGCTGTTAACGAATAATCTTTGGCCCTCATGCTGCTCACATGGAGCTCCGAGTGTACTGATGAAGTAAGAACCCGGTTCTGTTTAAACTGAGGGGCTGACAACTTATGTTCTTAACTAGAACTGGGCTGGTCAGCTAGCTAACAGGCTAAAAGAGCCAACAGCCTAAACAGCTCCATCATTAATATCACAGGCTTGAATTAAAGCAGTTACAGTGTGATTTACTGTAAAACGGCAGTATAAAACTCTAAAATGTCACCTGACTGTCTTATGCGCTTCAAATGTTCGTATTTCAGTCAGAAGTCGTGTCAAACCCAGACTGAATCCCAAACGGCTCCATACACCCTAAATAGTGTTCTAGCTATGAAAGTTTAGAGATTCTAGCCTCTACAGCCAAACAGTGCATCATTTATCAAGTGTGGATGTTTCTGAGTCCCAAATGACTGTTTCTTAGCTGTACTTTGCTCTGTTGGGCTGCAGGATCCAGTATTTAAACTCCTACGTAGTGCACTAAGCAGAGGGGCGCCGCTGGATTGGTGCTAAATAAGACTCCTGGTTGTAATTTGGTGACCAAAAACTACTTATAAAGCGAATGTTTCTGCGTTAAACAGTGCTGCGTTATCATATGTTCATTATTATACAACAAAAAGTTTAAATAATTCATGAAATGACTGCAAGATACAGCGATGGGCGACCGAACGTCCTCCTCATTCAGTGGTCCTTGGTTGCTTGGCTATGATACCAAACTCTAAAGGAACTACATTTCTTGGCGGAATGCTTGTTTATGTTGATTGTTACTAATAATAACTTAAATTACTTTATAAAAAATTGTGTAATTTGTCATATTTCACGTTGGCTGCTGTTTTATGAAAGCAATAAGCCACTTGAGGCCGTGTGCTACTGTGATTTTATCACAGGGAAAGGAGTGATACGATCGCAGTAACGCACGGCCTCTCGTAGCTTATTATTATAATATAGCAGTGTTTAATATAGGAATCTTATAAGTCATGCACCACGACAACAACGGTAATTTCTACTAGCGCCGACATGCAATTCCATGTTGTGTTAGCATCAAGCTAACTGTGCCACCCATTCGTTTCAACAGATCTACCAAAAACTCAAAGCTTATAAGACTTTTGAATAAATTTGAGTAAATTTGAAGGATTTTTGGCTGAAATATTCCTTTAAATCTCGTTTGATTTGCGTTTTTTGTTTTTGAACTTCACAGTACGTCCAGCTTCGCATCGCACCTCCTGCACTATCCACTCCCTCAATCTTTCTGATGGAGCATGTGTGGAACTGACTATGTGGGAACACTGTAGAGAGACAGTGGAGCTTGTCATGGCTCTCTCTCTCTCTCTCTCTCTCTCTCTCTCTCTGAATCCTCTTTCTCTTATCAGGCCTGCCCAGGCCTCCATCGGCCTCTCCCCACTCTGACAGGAGCAACAACAATAGCCCAGCGATACCACAGCGCTTCAGAGAGAAACCTGCCACGGGCACAGATTACCCATGACACACTCTCTCCATCTCTCTCTCTCTCCCTCTCTCTCCCTCTCTCTTCCTTTCTCTCCTTCTCGGAGACGTGTGATGAAAAACAGCGCGCTCTGTTCCCCGCAAACCTCAAACTTCCAAACTGGACACTGAAACATACATTGTACTCACTTTTTTCACTTTTGTTCTACCTGTTCATCTCTCTCTCTCTCTCTCTCTCTCTTTTTCTTCATTTCCCTCTATAAAAATCTCTGGCACACAAACATGAACTGTTTAAACATTAAAGGGCCCATCCTCTATATTTCTGTCTCTCTGAAACTCGTTATTTATATTAATTTGTATTATTGTTGGAGTTTCGGTGGGAGGATTTTGGTTGTACTGGGAGGAGTTTCAGTTGTACTGGGAGAAGTTTTGGTTGTACTGGGAGGGGTCTGGGTTATGCTGGGAGGAGTTTTGGTTGTACTGGGAGGAGTTTCAGTTTTACAGGAAGCAGTTTTGGTTGTACTGGGAGGGGTTTCAGTTGTACTGGGAGGGTTTTGGTTGTACTTGGAGAGGTTTTGAATGTACTGGGTGGGTTTTTGGTTGTACTGAGCGGAGTTCTAGTTTTACCGGGAGGAGTTTCGGCTGTACTGGGAGGTGTTTCAATTGTACTGGGAGGAGTTTCGGCTGTACTGGGATGAGTTTTGGTTGTACTGGGAGGAGTTTCAGTTGTACTGAGAGGGATTTGGGTTATACTAGAAGGGTTTTTGGTTGTACTGGGAGGAGTTTCAGTTGTACTGGGTAGAGTTTTGGTTGTACTGGGAGGAGTTTCAGTAGTACTGGGTGGAGTTTTAGTTGTACTGGGAGGAGTTTGGGTTGTCGAATGTGTCTTGGAGAGACGGATGTGTTTACGCTGCTATAACGTGGCTCAAATGCGTCTCAGTTCACCTCCTGAAGTGGTTTGACTGATCAGATTTGTATCTGTTTTAAATGTCTTGGCTGCATTTACAGTTGATTTTTATGTGGCCTCATTCAGATATAATCCTGATAATGAAGACGCATGAAGTGACCAGGTGTAAACAGGGTCCATGTGTCTTCTTTGGTATGAGAGGCAGGTTTAGTCAGTTTTCTTGTCCAAATTACTGTTAAAACACATACTGAAACTCTTTTGGTCCAGAGGTGGTTTAAACAGCTGAGAGGTTTGAGTGCTGATGAGCTCTGACATATATAAACAGCTTGTTTAATGTTACTGAATGAAAATTGCAATGAAGTCAATGGAAAATGTGTCTTAAAAACATTTTGAGAAGCGAGGTGTCCCCAAACTTTTGATGTTTTTCATCCTTATGACCCATTATTTACCCCTCAGGCCAAACAGGAAGCCGACTAGACAGAAAAAAAGTCTTACAGCATCGTTTCCTCCTGCGGCTGTTTCTATTTTTCCTGGGAAAGGCCCCCACGTGGTGCCTGGGGGAAGCAGCTGACGAGTATGAACGCTTTTTTCCCCTCCATCACTGACCACCTCCAACTCTCCTGCAAAAAAACACACAGCGGGGTCTCAAAGTGGAGTTACAGCACATACTCACACAATCGCAGGGTTGTAGGAACTTCTGTTCACCTCTGTATTAACGACAGCTCAACCCTCTACACTAAACCCAAACTGACAGGGGAATTCTGCCCATATTTCAAAATTTCTGCATAATTAAACGGTTAAGATGTAAACAGAGTCATTCAGAGTGGTTTGGTGTGAAACGCTCTGTTCTAGATAAACTTACTGAGTCAGAACTGTTCACAGTGGTGGTGATAGGAACCAGACGTCCACCTCTAAAAGCTCCCTCACAGAAAGTTACTACATGAAATGGTCATGAATTCACTGCCTGATGACTGAGACACTGTTTTATGATAGTTTGGAGAAGATTTTGGCCTTAAAATCCATTCATGGTGGAGGGATACATGCAGGGTGTTGTGAGGCAAAATAGTCCCCAAAGAAAACTTATTATTTCAGATTTTCCACTATTTTCCATCATCAACATTCCATATAAACTCAGAAGACTCGTGTAGGTTCACTGGTGGTTCTGGATAGTAAATAAAATGTCTATATTTGTGTTGTAGTCATGGCGACCCCTGGTTCCTATCACCACCACTGTAAAGACATCTGAACCATTTCACACCAAACCACTCTGAATCACTCTGATTACATCTCAAACACTGAGTTATGCGAGAATTCTGAAAAATGGGTGGCACTGCCCTTTAACTTTAACCTCAGCAAAAGGTTTTGAAGGAGAAAAATTTTTCATGTACACATTAAAAAAAAAGTAATGCTGTGAATTTACCTGATAACTTGTACATCATTTTTACATGAATAAAATATATATTTTTTTTTTAGTTATTGATTGATATATTTTATTCATGCCTGTATTCTACATTTTTCTTGTATTTTATTTTTTTCTCAAAGTTCGCTTACAAAGTTTGTTTGGTTTTATGTACCAAAACAGTCATAATTCCTCGGTACATGACCATTTTCCAAGCTCTCTTCAACCTCCTTACAATTAAACAGGCTGTTTTTCGGTACTGCGCCTTTAAGAATTTATGTAAATGAGCTGAGTTCTGATTGGCTGTCCTGTGCCACATTAAAAAAGCAGTCCAGTCTGAAATAAGTGTAACTGCAACACCGTTATAACTTCAACGTGGGTGGGGCTAAACTGCTGTGGGCTGAAGAGGTGGATATATGTAAATATGTCAGTATTTGTGACATCACAAATACACTGGACGGGCTGTTTCCATATATGGACTGTATAAACTGTTGTGTTGAAACATTAACAAAATATGCAAATTACACTGCACAAAAAGAGAGGAAAACTTGTTTTTATAATGATCCGAGCCCTTTAAACCTGTCTCTGGACCTCGGGTGGTGATTTTGTCTTAGCTCAGATGACAGTTTACTGCAGGTCAAGTTCATAAGGCTACATAAAACCTACATAAGCCTTTTACAGACTTACAAAGCATTTATTAAGGCTTATTCCAATAGGCGACATTTGGCACAAAGTTGACGTAACACTTACGTCAGGTGACATTTTTAATAACATTATAGCATGTTATGCCAGAGGTGGGCGATATGGCAAAAATATAATATTGCAATACCTAAGAAAATTTTCACGAAACTTGATATGTCACGATATTAATGTGTTTAGACATCTGATCAGTTCCAACAGAGAAAAAAGAGCTACATCTTAAAATATACTACTAAAAACTGAACACAATGATTTTAATTCAATATTTGGCACTAAATCCAGTTAAACAGGACTAATTTTGCTCTCTGTATAGTGAAGCAGGCAGTTGGTCAGCGTCTACAACTACTGACAATATACACAACATGTTCAGAAAGGCTTATTCTATTGTACATAATTTCAGTGATGTAGTGATACTGCCCAGCCCTAGTTATGACCACTGACTTTGTACCTGGATGTGTGTCACAGTGATACAGTGCTGACTGTGTTGCATTATTACAGCATTATGTCACTGTAACACACACCGAGATACAAAGGCAGGTGTTGTAACATGTAACACGTTCTCTATGACGGATTTCTGCAGTTAGTCGATTATTCAAGTGGTCATGTAAACACCATACTCCGATCTAGAAATCCGATTAAGAAATCCGATAAAGAGGCTGGATTTTAGCTCAGTAATCAGATTTCTCAGTGCATGTGAACTCTTACTCTGATTTCTTTCGCATTTCTCAGTCTGTGCATGTGCGGAAACAGACGGCGGTACCGGAAATAAGCGAACAGCACCGAAAACACTTTTGAAGCAACAATGAAACCAACTATGAAATAAAGGATTTGAATATTCTTCATCTTCCAGATGATGTGTGTTCATATTTTCAGGAAAAGCGGCGCGACGTTTAATAAAAAGCCGCGTTATGAAGTTTGAGTTTTACGTTATGTTTATGTCACGTCTTCTGTGAGTTTATTGGCTGGTTGCAAAGCAGAAATCTGATTACTGTCTGACTCATGTAGACCTGGCGTTTCCCCATTATCTGATTACTCAAGAGAATGTAAACGCGTTGATCAGATTACTGACAAAATCTGATTTTCTGCAGTTATTGGATTATTAAGTGCATGTAAAGTGAAGCCGTCACCACAGAAAGGCTCTGCTAGACTGTGTGAACTGTTTATGGTGAAAATCTGCCATCAGGACCATCAATCAGTTCTGATCGGACGCTGCACTCAGTGTCACTCCACCTGCTCCTCTCACTGCTCTCGCTCCAGCTTCTCCCACTCTGCTCGCTCTTCACTCCTCTTTCTGCTCTCACTCCTTTCTCTCCTCTTACTCTTATCGCTCCTCTCACTCCTTTTGCTCCTCTCACTCCATTCACTCCTCGTCCTCTAGTTCCTCACACTCCTTTCACTCCTCTTACTTCTCTCACTTCTCTAGCTCCTCACTCCTCTCACTCCTTTTGCCCCTCTCACTCCATTCACTCCTCTCACTCCTCGTCCTCTAGTTCCTCTCACTCCTTTCACTCCTCTTACTTCTCTCACTTCTCTAGCTCCTCACTCCTCTCACCCCTTTCAGTCCTCTGCTCGCTCCTCTGACTCCTCTCGCTTCTCTAGCTCCTCTCACTCTTTTCACTCCTCTAGCTCCTCTCTCTCCTTTCGCACTTTTCACTCCTCTGACTCCTCTTGCTTGTCTAGCTCGTCTCACTCCTCTATGTCTTCTCACTTCTTTCACTCCTCTAGCTCCTCTCACTCCTTTTGCTCATCCTCGCTCCTCCAGCTTCTCTATCTCCTCTCACTCCCCTTGCTTCTCTCACTCCTCTCGCTCCTCTTGCTTCTCTCACTCCTCTAGCTCCTCTCGCTTCTCTAGCTCCTCTCACTCTTTTCACTCCTCTAGCTCCTCTCTCTCCTTTCGCACTTTTCACTCCTCTGACTCCTCTTGCTTCTCTATCTCCTCTCACTCCTCTTGCTTCTCTCACTCCTCTCGCTCCTCTCACTCCTCTGGCTCCTCCTCGCTCCTCCAGCTTCTCTATCTCCTCTCATTGCTCTCGCTCCTCTCACTCCTCTCGCTCCTCTCACTCCTCTATCTCCTCTCACTCCTCTTGCTCCTCTCACTCCTCTTGCTCCTCTCACTCCTCTATCTCCTCTCACTCCTCTCGCTCCTCTCACTCCTCTCGCTCCTCTCGCTCCTGCAGTCAATTAGCAGATCATAGAGTGAGAGAGATTTCTTTCTATCCTGGATGACCTGCTTGTCTCTTTGATTAGGATTTAGCCCTCTGCGCTCTGACAAGCCTCAGATAAGGTGCATTAAGCCTCTTGCGCTCTCTCTTTCTCTCTCTCACACACACTCTCTCTCCTCCTTCTCTCCCCTTCTCTTTTTCTTTCTCTCTCCCTTTCTATCCCACTCATTCTCTCTCCCTCTCTCTCCTCTTTCTCCCTCTCTCCCGCTGTTTTTCTCCTTCCGTCTCTCGCCTTCTCCATCCCTTTTCTCTCTTTCCTTTTCCCTCTCTCTCCCTCTTTCCCTCTCTCCATCTCTCTCTCCCTCTTTCCCTCTCTCCATCTCTCCTCTCTCTGTCTTTTCTCTCCCCCTCTGTCTCTCGCCCACCCGCCCCCCCCTCCTGTGGGGGGATGCCTGCTGATGGAGTGATAAAGAGGCAGCAGATCAGGCCGGGGTTTCTTTCTTAAAGCTTTTCATCACTCTCTCCTCCAGCTGCAGATAAAACCCACGTCTCTGACTAAAGACCGCACCAGGCGGCTGGAGTTCAAGTAGGAGCGTCTTCTTTTGTATTAAAGCGATAGTTCTGCAAAAACCACAGCCCCCCCAGCCCCCCAGCTCCAAACCCCCCGCTCAAATGTGTTCAGTCAGCCAAAAACATGTTGGTGCTGAAAAAGTTTGCTTCTATAGTTTTAGCATTGGAGCTACTAGGCTAATGTAGCTAACAAGTAACTGAGGATTACAGGGAACCCTGATTATCACAGCTCGGCCTTCAGTTTGTGAGTTCAGGCTGTAAATGTTAAAACCGTTTAAAAAAAAAACACACAACACAATAATTAACAATAACGCTAAAGAGTAAAGAGTCCTGACACAGAGCTGCCGCCACTGTTTACATCCCTGACAACTAACCCAGCGGTCAGCAACATGCGGCCCTTTCCTGCCCTGTTGTGGCTCCACAGCAGAATCAGGTTTGTAGGTAAAAATAAAATAATCCTCCTTTACAGTAAAATAAAGCTCTGCTGATCGTTCAACACAGTTTAACAATAAATGATCTTAAACTCTGGAGTTAATGTAGAACTGCTGATTCACCCTTTAACCCTGAAGATCAGTGCAGACTGCTGGTCACCATAGCAACACAGACAACAGTCTCGCCTAGTTAGTAGCTAACGAAACGGCAAAGAGAGAGATTTAAGACGATCGTCAGTAACTGTGTAATTATGCTAATTAACTATGCAGTGTAAAGTGAATGTGTAGCAGAACAACATTGACTCCAGATGTGTGAATGTGAGTTCAGTTTTAGTGAAAGTGTGTAAGTGTGTGCTGTA